CGTATCGTGGCCTAGGTATCGAGGTATATATTGTATCGGCAACTTCTTAATGATACCCAGCCCTACTTGACATATTCACATATACATAACTTTGCACAAGTAGTAGTTTAACAAAGAAATATTGCTGCAAAAATGTATTTGATTCTGGAAAAAAACAGCAATATATCGCAAAATATCATGTAAAATATGTCATGATAATATCTCATTGTGACCCATGTATCACCTATTGCATTGAATCATGAGGGACCCCGTGAATCCCAGCCCTAGTTGTATCTCATTGACTTTGCACTGCTCGGACTTTCCCTGTACCATTATGGTTTCCCCTCATTACGTCGTGTTATGTTGGATGTGTGGATGGGCTCCTATGGCTCCTCCTTTTTCCTGACGTGCTCCATTGATCCGACTCTAATCTAGTTTTGGCTTCCTGACAGAGCTCACTTCCCTGAGGCATTAATTATGGCTCCATGTGATTTATATCAGTGGCTCCAGCTCGCAGCACTGTCCTCTCTTTAATCCAATCGGCTTCACGTCTGCGACCCAGCGCTTTTGCTCTCACCCAATCAGATATATTGAGTACGTGATGCAAGTACTTCCCCTGGTTTACACCCCCCTACAGCTAAATCACCCATCTGCCCTCCACAGTGTGTTCTATTACCCCCCTGAGTAAAGTTTGTACTGCGGAGTCTACGGGACAAGTAAACGCAAAGTTTTGTTCTCCTGGATAAGAGATGGTTTTGGATTACAATGGGCCAATGCAGATTTACTTTGACCCATGGATTATTTCATTCATGAGGATCTTTTGCAATTTACTTGACTGAGATTACATTTATTCAATTCTCTGGGCGTTAATGGACTTCACTAGACAAGGCAAGTTTGTATTTGTATAGCACAATTTGCACACAGTAATTCTAAGTGCTTTACAGAACAAGAAAGACATTAACATCACAATACAAACAAATTAAAACAATTCATCCACACAATTTACTTTAAAAGAGTAGACGTTATATGCAAAATGAAATTCTTTCAGTCATGCGCACAGCTCAACAGAACTGATTTAGCCTAGATTTGTACATTGTCAGATACACCTTGCTTTAAATAACTAAGGTGTGTTCATTTCAATGTAGTTCCTCCATTCAGCCAGAACTGAAAAAGCCATTTGGATGATTGGAGAAATGTATTCACTCTTAAGGACTAGACCAAAATCCCGAATTCAATTTTCTTTTGCGATGGAACCTGCCTGGACATCTGAGGGATTACATGGATATCTCTCCTGAAGTCTTTTAGGCTGCGTTTATACTTCAAAATCTTCAAAATTTGGTCTATACTGAGCTTAAACACGGAACTAAACCTGGAATTAAAGCATTACTAAAACTGGACCAAAACCAGGACCAAACAAAAACAAAAGTGATGGTTTCAGTGTAGTTAGCTCCTCCCTTCAAATAGATATAAGGCAGTGACTTATCAGAATCCCATAATTGAAGTGGCAAAACTTTTATCCAGTTTGCAGAATTCAATTTAGTTTTACAATGGAACCTACCTGGACATCTGAGGGATTACACGGATCTCTCTGCTGAAACCAGAATTGGACTAGACTGGAACCAAACCTGGAACTAAACCTGGACTAAACCCTTAATCTGGTGTGTGCCTTTCAACAATGACCTTTACCCTCACTCGGCGTTGGGACAGCCTGACCAGTAGCTCTTCGCTCAGCCCTTCCCTCCACGGCGGCAGCGTCCCAAACCTGCTTGCCCCTCCCCGGACTGATCGCCATGGGACCCTGAAGAAGCGCCTGTCCATGGAGCTTCTGAAGAACTGGGCCCCAGACCTGAGCAGCCTGAAGGGCCCAGTGAAGTGGCCCTCTGTGAACAGTGTGTACAAGTGGAAGCACAGCCTGGCTCATAAGCTGAAGTGGAGGCCGAGCTCAGAGGGAGAATTACAGGTGAAAGAATGTGATCTTATCAAGAGGTTTAATTCTAATTTATACTTTTTATTAACCTCAAGTGCCCATATTACGCCATTTCTGATCCATGTTATAATTTTGTTTCCTCATTGCAAACATACTGGGAGTTTTGTTGAACACACAAATCCTGCATATTTAGGCTGAGTTCTTCTCTAAAACAGAAAACAGTCTGCTCCACCTTATGATGTCTTGTGGTAATACAGGAATAAACTCCATACACCTTGGGATCTTTTCAGCTTTGGAATTTCCTCTGCTGAACTAAAGGTCAAATGCAGCTGTCATCACAATGTGGTTCACAGCATTTTGAGGTTTTGCGATGTAGAAAGACTAATAATAAAGCGTTACTCAAACATGTGTGAATGAAACACAACACAATACAACTCCAGTTATGTTTTTGATGAGTTGTCAACATTCTAACGTAAGGTTCAAAATGCTGTGCGCTGTAATTATAAAGCTTTTTTGGCGTTTGTAAAATCATGAATTAAAGCTGGTGCGCTGTTTGCATGGCAAGGCAAGCCAAGGCAAGTTTATTTGTATTTTACACAAAGTAATTCAAGGTGCTTTACAGAATAAGAAAAACATTAAAATCACAATAAAAACAAATCAAAACATAAATAATCATCATAAAATTTAAGATTAAAATGAAAAAAATTGTTAGCATTTGTTGTTAACATTAAAGTGACAAGAGGCAAAACTTTGCTTTAGTCTCTAGATGGCTAATTGTGAAATGAGCTCATAAATTCATTGTGTTAAATTGCTAAGAATCCTTAAACTGTGGAATAATTTTGGACCACTGAAAACTGTTTAATATGAACTACAGAAGTTTTGTTTATCATATATTTAAGACACTGAAAATCAGGTGCAGTGTCTAAAGAAAAGTCAATATTTTAGACTTTGAGATCACATAACATGTTTTAGCCAGCAGTGCATTTGTTAGACCCTGCTTTGCCACTTTAACTTTGTGCCACTCTATTTGCTTTAACTAACCCTTAATCCAGCTATTGGCTCGGATTAATTAGGATTACATTCTTGGGTAGTCATCTGTGAAGTGCTAAAACAAGTATTATTTCTTGAAGCTTGTAAATTAGATATTAGCTGGGGATTACTTTAAAAACACAAACCACCAGTGCAGAACTGAAAAGTGCATAATTTACTTTTCACGAACAACATTTTAACAACTTATTAAACGCGAGCAATTACTGACCAGTCAAAACATTTTTACTATGTTAGATTATCATTGAAGAAAGTTATTCAAAGTGCAAATGACTGCAGGTGAGAAGAGCTCTCTTGATGGTTGCCAGGTCTTTTCTTCATGGAGATGTTATTATTCTGTCTGGAATGTTTCACAGTATGGCATTAAACCTTTCTGTTATCATGGAGACCAAGTTACAGGTGAGATCTGTGGAAAGGCAACCCCGCCTACAGTCAGAATGCCTGTTTTTCCAAGTATTTTTCAGCTATAAAACCACCACTTAGAGCTGTTTAAGGTCATACTGTGGAACATTTCAGGCAGAGCAATGACATATCCATAGAAACAAGGAGGTGACGGACGTCCAACCAAAACGTTATGACATGTCCTGCTGATTGATTAGTCGACTAAAAAGGTGGTGTAGCAAAAGGTCTAGATTAGAAACTGTTACTGTTCTCTACGTATCTGAACCCAAACACCTCTCACTAGACTACACCTACACAAATTAATGCAAAACCAACTTTTTATGCAGAAAAAATAGTAGTAAGAAACTATGCGTTTATATAAAGACAGATTCAGTTTGTGAATCATAAATTGAATCTGCCTTTTTCCATATAAATATTTTTTTAAATGCATAAAAAATAACAAATCTTCAGCTCACTCATTAACTTCTCCTTCAGCTGTTGTCCAATTAACATTTTAAGAACACACTTTGGTCAACCGATTAATTGAGTAAATGAGTAAACTAAAGGCCTACAGTCCTATTGGTTGGTACAGTCAAAATAACAAAGTAATACAATATAGCTCCATAGCTTTTTTATTATTATAGAGTGCATTCTCAAGGCTTTGGTTTTGTTTATCCTCGTCATTTCTCATACCCAGATTTAATTACAAAGGCAGCTCCCCATCCATGGCATTTTACTCAGATTTATACAGATCATTAACAGGATAATTCAGGTTAAAAACTTCTCCTCGCTTGGGTTAATGGAAAAAGCGGGCACTTTATCTGTCACATCAACTCGTATTAACTTTATAAACTCAGCTTTGACTGTAATTCTGTTGCCAGCTGATGCATGTCTTTAAAACCTCATAAACCACTGAGGTACTGAGGTAATTACTGAAAATAAATTTTATTAATGCCCAACAAACTATAGGTCATCTCCAAATGAATTGAAAATAACTTAATATATAGAAATAACTTTGGATTTGTCTCCTTGAGGGATAGGAAAATCAACAATAATATTCTTAACTGTGATAAAAAGAAAGACTGTAATTGTTTGTGGTACATTTTGTATAATTATGAAAGTCCCCAAATAGTTGTCTCAGGGGGCAAGAGCCAGTTTTTCCTATTTTGCCATGAAGTATCCAAAAGGTAAATTCACAAATGCTGATCCTGATCATTTCTATTGGTTACTAGACCCAAGAACTCACTGTATTATAACACAAATCTGCATTTTAACAATATTTATTTATTTTTTTTTATTTTTACTGCCCCCATCTGTTTGAAACATTAACGGCCTATAGAATGATGTGATCTCTTCTGAAACACAGCGATAGATATAATAACCATTATACACCCAGACTGCGCAGAGAAAGCTATTAGCCATGATGTTCTCTTCTAGATCATTGTTGTTTTCACTTATAACAAAGTACAAAGCTATTATAGTTATAAACTGAAACTTCTTAATAACAAAGTACATAATGATAATAGTCATTTGAGTAGTGATACTTTTTACTGATATCATTCTGGGGGCTTCTACATATATCTGTACTGGTGGAATGTTAACAGAAAATTGTCTGAGAGTTCAAGAAAAAAATGCAAAATTTATTTAAATAACACATTTTCCGGAGCCTGTGATCAATACAAGCGTTCATGGTCCTGTTCAGGTGTTTGATTTTCAACAAAAAATGTTGTGACTAACTGAAAAACTGTTGACTAATGCTAACATCTGTTGTATTTCCATCTAAATTAGCTCTTTCTGTTCGGATTGTGTTAAAATAAAACAAAAATAAAAGATTAAAGGCTAATTCGAGCGTCAGACAGATCAGTGCCTATAGTTAGCTTCACACTTCTAGGAAATTTTGTTTGTTTGTTTGTTTGTTTGTTTTTATTTAGGTCCCCATTAGCTACTGAAAAACAGCAACTGTTCTTCCTGGGTTCCATTTATTTATTTATTTTTTCCTACAAAAAACAGGCAAGATGTACATGCACATAAACACCAACAATGAAACAAAAACAGAACAAAAATAACAAAAATATACGAATAATCATGATAATCAAAATAAAAATAATTTTGAAGATATCAGCTGCAAAGTGTCAATATTTCAATAACATTTTTAAACTGTCAGCATTTTTTAAATTCCTGTTGTTAATTATAATTATTTAGACCATATTATTGTGATACAAAAATTCGATATCTTGCCTAGTGTCTTGTCTCCCCATCACATGATCGAGGTGTAAGGTTTGAGATAAATAATTCACCCGACAAAGCAGATTACCGTATGAATTTTTTATCTTCCTGACATTTTACAAACATGTAATTAATCATGGTTCTGCAGTTGGCTGAGGTTAGTGGAGATCCTTTAATCAGCCTTTGACAGCGTTTGTGAATGCCAGTTTTCTGTCTGCTTTAAAGGACTATTTTCTGATGTGTTATAATGTTTCCTCATCCAAAACATCCCTGGAGTTGTGTTTTGTTTCATTCACACATGTTTAACACACAAACCTCGCATATTTAGGCTGAGTTTTTCTCTCAAACTGAAGACGCTCTGTTTGCAATGTCATGTGGTAATACAGAAAGTGCTCCACTGTGTGATTCTACTAAACTACATACACTTATACTAAACACATACTACACTTTCAGAAGAATCATTTGGATAATTTCAGACCTGGAATTGCCAAGCACTACTGAACTAAAGGTAAATGTCAGGACATCGCAAGTTGGAACAGATGTAAACAGACATTTAAACATGTGTGAATGAAACAAAACACGACTCCATGTATGTTTTTGATGAGAAAACAGTGTTATAACATGACTTAAAGCTCACAAGAATCAATTTTACGTAACAGAGGACCTTTAAGAACTGTTTTTGTTCTCCCTGTCCCACCTGATAATGAGTCAACACTTTATTAATTCCAGTGTTAAGAGTGTTCTTGTTATTCTGTGATCCTTAGCACTTCAAAACTTTAGAGGACTTGTTCATAGATGTCACTTTTGTGTTGTTTTCTTTTCACAAACAGCTTTTGTAATATTTGGAAATCAAAATCTTTGTCATCAAATTTGTAAAGCATGTTGATTCTTTTCCCAAGTAAGAAACTAAAATTTGTTTTGCCCCAGTAGTTCAGATGTATTGTAAAAGCAGGTCTTAGAAAAATAAGACCTCTGCTGTCTGCTTCTAATTATAAAGCATTTTTACCGACCCTGAATGAGGAAGCACAACCAGTGACCTGTTAGCACACTAGCTGTTGTGAGCATTATTGTGACTCTGGCCTCTGAAAGTTGCTTATAAACTCATAACTCATCAAGGTGAATAATTACTATGCTCAGATTGTGTTGGAAAAGCACCATATTGATGTTGTTTACAAACTTGAGCATTGGCTCAGTGATTTTAGGTGTTTGCCCAAAAATATTATGATTATTGGTGTGACCCCAATTCTGGCTTGGTGGTTAGAATAGTGGTCCCTCAGCCTGAAAGTCCAAGGATCAATTCCCTCTCTGACCAAGTTCTGTCTTTGTGTCCTTCACTCACATTGCCTAGTCTGAAAGTGGTGTGTTTGTGAGTGTTTGTGGTGGTGGTGTTGGAGGGGAAGATGCTGCAGACTCACTTCCATCAGTCTATCCCAGGGCAGCTGTGGCTACAATAGTAATTTACCATGACTATAGTATGAGAGTATGGAGTGAATGAATATTGATTACACTATAGAGCTTTGAGAAGCTTCGACAAGCTTGTAAAGCACATTATAAAGGTAAGGCTTTACTGTCATTACTTCATCTTGCCTATGTATGAATGTGGTGTGATAGATAGACAAGTAAACAGATAGATAGATAAATAGATAGTTATAGGAATAAAGAAAATTCATAACAGTGGTATGTGGTTAAATCTGTAGCCAGTTGTGTTGCGTCATTAACTTTTGTCTTTTTGGAAGCTCCCATGTGGTAAAAGCACCTAAAACAAACCTTGTGTTTTGTCCAAAAGTAACTTGTAAATCTCACTCGCTGGTGTTATGGTCCTGGATCAGTCTGGCAAATGATGCCAGTGCCAGCAGATACATTTGTACAATAGCTTTTTTACATAACTGAGCACGACAAACTTACGATGATTAAAAGTTTGAGATTCACAACGCCAAAGCTACATCATTGCCGTGTGACTAAAAGAACAATCTGGCAACCCAGTTCTAAAAGTTTTAATGTGAGATTTATGTTAGATTTGACTTGGTGAATTATAAAAGAAAAGATGAGTTATAAAGAACTTAATCTGCAGTCCCATTTGTTTTCTACAGTGTGCAGATGTCTTTGAAACTGACTGAAGTTAATTAGAATGAATCGCAAAAAATGAAGGGAGTGTTTGATGCTTTGGAAACCTGATGGCCAGATTAACTCCTGACAGCACGTTTTACCGTCTCATTGCACTGTCACTCATTTTGTAATGAAATTCTAACCATTGTGTGTGTGTGTGTGTGTGTATGTGAGTGTGTGTGAGATACTAAAACTAGTATCGAAACTAGACACTAATTTGAGCAGTATTGATAATAAAAACGTCACATTCACAGGCCAAAAATGAACCTTTCCTGAATAGCTTTAGAATGACCTTGAGCTGTATAAGACCACATAGACTAACTCCACATGGTAATATAAAAGAAAATGGTATGATTTATCGTTGAAATATTTAACATCTATTCCTTAGTATTGAAATTGAATTAGAACTTTTTTGGCCCTATTTTGCCCCCAGTCTTTGCACGAGCGCAAGTGTTAACGAGGGAGTGTGTCCAGGTCGGGCTGTACTTGACCACTGGAGACTGGAGTGGGACGGTACAAGTACATATATGGTGATGGCATCTGAACCAATCTGTGACGGCTGTGGCATTTAAAATCACTGCCAGCATGGGTAATGTCAGCAGTCTTTGCCTCATTACCAGGCATATATATAGTATATATATATATATATATATATATATATATATATATATATATATATATATATATATATATATATATATATATATATATATATATATATAATGTATGTATGAGTACAAAAACAGCTTTGGAGCCCCATGAAATAAGTCTGCACCAGTAGAGGCGCTGGCTGGGATTATAGAATTTTGGATGGGCCGTCACAGAACTGGCTTGTGATCCGTGCGCATGTGTGCTCCTCTCACGTATGTATGTGAACCCCTGTAGACCTCATGTCAGCCATAGTTTTCTCTGTGTTCCTCTATTGTTTTGCTTCCCATTACACAGCAGACCAGTGTCTTTCTTGTGTGCTCCTCATTCCACATCAGATTCGCTGATCTCCTCTCTCCCCCATGTCGCACCTGTTCCTACCATGAGCAATACCCTGCAGACAGAAAACACACTTTAGGATAGAGCTGTAATCGGCCTCATGTGAATGAGCAGCTTTGGTACAGATCGTGATCAAACCAAACTATACAGGGAGCAGGAGTGAGCTGTGCTCTGCTGCAGGAGGGCATTCCGACTGCGCTCGAACATCCCAGACAGCACATGAACATGTGAATGCTTTTTATGTCTTGAATATGTTACATGTAATGTTCTTCAGTGAACTAGTCTTAGTCTGCTCCATTCTGCCTGATATTTAGGCACCACACACCTCTTGTTTTGGGCTCCACTATGTGGGGGGTGCAAAGACTGGAGGCAAGATACGACCAATAGTATCATGACAACACGCGTGCAGGGCCAGTGGGTCGCAAGTGTCTGGTTATGTAAGATATCAATAATAGTACTTTCTTTCTGTACTTTCTTTATTATACCATATGGCAAGTCTATTCAAATTTTTAACAGTTTTACTTGAGGGCCAGACTTTTGGGGATCCATTGCCAGGAGTAACTTAGAATTAAACTAGGCCTAAACCAGGTCTAAACCAGAACTAAACATACCAATAAAGAAGAGAAAATGATTGAATATTTCTAAAACTGATCAAGAACTCAAATATTATCATGTTATTATGTGTTTTTTTTTCTTTTCAGAATAAACTTGATGAGTATCTTGTTTCAATACAAGATTTAGTATTGATTAGTATCTGATACTTGATACTTTTGACAAACTTAACCGAGATCTAAGCACTATTTTTTATTCTTGTGTGAGATAGAGGTCCTACCTGAATGCTGGTTATTATGTGCATTGTGCTTTTTAGTTCTTCACGCCTTGTTGCTAGTCTGGTAATAGCTTATTAAAACATCCAATTACATACTCCTATTTAACGAGGTGCAAAGGACTGCGTGTACACCTCAGATAATATTATAATGGAATTGTTTTCTCAGCTTGGTGCTAACGGTGGCTATGTGTACACAGACACCAAAAATCTGATCTTTATCTGATTTCTGGAGTTATCATTGAAATGTCATATGAACAATTACTGCTGATGTGAGTAATCTGATTTCTTTTCTTTTTATGTTTATACCTGTTCAGGTTTTGACAAGGACAATTACGCAGAAAGGGCAAACTAATGTGTCTAAAAATCCACTAACTAAAGATGCCCTCACCTTTCTAATATTTGTAATAATGATTTTCTATAACCTTTCATATAGGGAGTCCTGCTTATCTTCATTGTAAATAGATTTTGTGCCATCATGTGTGTTCTGTATTCTATATGTTTCTACCATCATGTATATTGGCAAAATAAGTGTTAAACTTCAGCGTAAACCCCTTCGGTCTGTAGAATAACTGAAGTGCATAGTTTTGCATAGATTTTGTGTTATTTATGAGCCATTGCAACATGATTAATGATTATTCTAGGTGTTTTACTGTTATAGAATACCTTGAAAAACCTGCTTTCTTACTGTGAGCTGGGTCATGTGTAACTTGACCTCCTGGCTGCATCCGCTGATTGCCTCATTGTTGAAAGATTAATGCCATACTGTGGAAAAATTTACCCGTTTTGAAACACTTTTTATGTTATTGTTTATGCACCTGTTCGCTTGTGCTTTTTCCAATACCATGGCGTAATATTAATGACTTGACTCATGCAGCATGTCCAATACAGTCAGTCTGTCGCTATAACCAGGCCAAAACAAAGACACACTCCTCCAAAGTCCAGCGGGACACTAATTATGATAAACACGCACACATTTTGGGTTTCAATGCTTCTTCTTGACTTTTGCATTTCATTTGCTGGAGACAGATCCTAACATTTATCACTTTAAACCTTGTTATTAACATGTTTTTGACATATTTTTTATTTTCTGTAGACATTGCATTGACCTATTTTACCCCATATGTGAAATTTTATTAAATGAAATGTTGTTGATCCAATCTTTAAGGATTCACATTATGATAAACACACACATATTGAGTTTCCTTGCTTCTGAGAGACATTACAATAACTTAGATTCCTTTCCTGTTGACAGATCCTAACAGTGGTTATCATAATCACTACTTGCCAAGTACAACAAGCATAATATAAAATAATACAATTTTAAATGATAATGTCTCTATAGCCTATCTGTAGGCTGCTGGCCAGCTCTAATACATATTTGGTATGATCTTGCGGACCAAATATAATTATATCATGGGCCAAATTTGGTCCCCAGGCCTGAGTTTGAAATGTCTGACCTAAACCCTATAACGTTACCTATTTTAACCCATATCTGAAATTTAGACTATTTTGTGGATTTAACTGAATAATAAAATATTTTCGTCATGGGGACCTGATTTTCATCTCCATAAGTGTGGCAAGTCTTGTGATAAATACCCATACACACACACAAACACAGGCACACGTTTGTATCTGGGAGAATGTGAGATCACACAGGGCAGTTTGCTTGTCTTTCTGTCTGACACAGTTTGACCGCTCCATCGGGGTAATGCCCGCTGCTCCAGATGGCCTGCCCCTCCCAGAGTCACTTTTGACTTTGCCACAGTGTTTAGTACAGAGAGTTTTTGCAATTTACAAATCAATTCTGTCCTAAAGCTGCACAAACTTACCACTCGATAAACTGAATGTGCCCAGACTAACAGATGCTTTTGTCAGGGTGGAAAACAACAGCATGATATAACTGTATTTGGATAGTGTTATGTTAAACGGCCCATATTACGCTATTTTTCGATCTAAGTTATAATGTTATTTCCTCATCACAAACATACCTGGGTTGATGTTTTGATTAACACACAAAGCCTGCAAATTTAGGCTGAGTTCTTCTCTCAAGCAAAAACACTGTTCCAACTTTTTGATGTAATGTGGTAATACAGGAAGTGCTCCACTGTTTTTAAACTCCATGCACCTTCACTAGAATCATTTGGATGATTTTAGCCCTGAAATTGCCAGTCTCTTCTGCACAAAAAGTATAAGGTAGCTGTTAACTTGAAAACACATGACATCAAGGTGGAACAGAGCATTTTGAGCTTTGACGATGTAGACAGGCTAATAATGAACAATAACTCAAAGATGTGTGAATGAAACAAAACACAACAAGGTATGTTTTTGATGAAATAACATTATAACGTGGCTTAAAGCTCAAAGTAATCCATTTTGTGTAATATATGACCTTTAATGTGAGTGAAAGTTGTAATATCTCGATATCAACTTCATGTTAACTTCACTATAACTGAATTGTTATATTAGGGTTGTCCAAACATTTTAGGAGTGTCCATTTTAGGGGTGTCCAAACACCTGCATATTGAAACACA